GGCATATGCAAAAGAATTATGCACAATATGGCATTGTAACAATAACAAAACACAAAGCTGTCATATTTAATATGCCATAATAAAATTGCATATAATTTTTATTGTTTGCATTACAAATAAAAGGCAACAAAAATTAATAAAATAAAAAAAAAATGAATAAAATGTATAAAAATATTATATACATATATATATCTAGAGGGTTTTTATGCTTCTTAACAGTACAACAACAGGACAGAGGGAGATCGTAAGTACAAAGCAAATTCATTTTAAAAAGGTTTTAATGTTTAAAATATTTTTAACATCAAATTAAATTGTTTTACAACTTTTCCGTAGAATTTGTAAACTTTTTTTAATAAAAGGACGTCACAGTAAAAAAAAAATTCAAATCGCGAAACCGTTTTTTTTTCGTACTAAGGCTTGAATTTGTCACAAATAGTAACCAGCTTATCATAACTAAAATGTTACTCATACGCACCAAGTACCAGTGCGTATGAGTAACAAATATAACAGATTTGAAAAAATTAATTAATTTTGATTCGTTTTGTTAATTTAAAATACTTAAACTCGTTCAAAAATCAATCTAAATTAGTTACATTCTATTTTAACTTATTTTAATTAATTTTGTGCTATGGTCTTTCTTTTATTTCCGTTATATATTTTTTTTATTTCCTTTTTATCATTTTTTTTACTTCAATTTCATTTATTTAATTTAATTCCATTTTAATTACTTTTTTATATTATTTTAATTAATTACTTTGATCTCATTTCATTTCATTTTTTTACTTTTTCGTTAATTTTTTTTTTATTTGAATTTATTTTATTTTATATTATTTTATTTCATTTAAATTAATTTTTTTTATTATTATTTCCTTTAATTGCATTTTATTTCGTTTTATTTTCAATATTTTTTTTTTGTTTTTTAATTTTTTTTTTTTAAATATGTTTTATCTTAATTTATTTAATTTTATAATTACTTATTTTATTTTATATTATTTTGTTTAATTTAATTTTTTTTTTCTATAAATCAATTTGATTTTAAAATTTAATTTAATTAAAGTTTTTCTATTAATATTCTTTTATTTTGTTTTATTTTATTTGTTTTATATAATATATATACTTATACATATATATGTATACATATTTGTTTATTTTTGTTATATTTTATTTTAATTTTATTTTATTATTAAAATATTTTTTATTTTACTCTTTACTTTGTACTATTATTTTCGGATTTTAAATGTTTCAGAAATTAAGTGCGGAAATTTTATTTAAGTCTTTTCCTGCACAAATACACATACATCAACCATTCCCTTTACTGTCATTAATATCTAAGCCACCCTCGATTGAAATTCCCCGAATAACCCATAAAACCATCGCCAAGTTGGCATTGCAGAAATAACCAATTTCACTTGTACCGTTATTGTCATCCGCAATTGTCAAGCAATCGACCAAAAAACAAACAACAACAGCACTCCAGCTAAGTGCAACCAAAACACAGAGAGAGAAAATACAAGCAAACCAGATCTACTACTATTTTACTACTACTAGTACATACCAGCATGTACTATTACTACTACTACAACAATAATAATAGCAGCAACAACAACAATAAAAACAAGAACGCCTGCTAAATTGGCACATATCAAGCGGCCAAGTACAAAATGGTTTTGTTGCACAATGCGATCCCTCAAAACTTACATGAATGCCATGCATGCCGCGTCTACAGATGTAGATGCATACTTACATACGGGCATGTCGACCAAAGTGCAACTACAATTGCATAGACATACACGTATATGCATGTCATCTGAGCTGCAATTGAATTGAGTGTACCAGTAACAGCTGCGCCAACGCCAACGCCAACTCAGCGGCCGCCAAAAACGGCTTCCATAGCTGCTGTCACTGACGCCAAGCGGCTTCGAGACACCACGACATCACACACCAACACATTTGCAATTACATTGGTATGTATGTTTGTACAACATGAAACTCTGCAAAACTAATTAAAATCGAAATTGAGCAACAAAGAACAAACTGTCAAATGCGATAACGATTGAGAAGGGGTTGGTGGGAGTGATAGAGGCGCGTTGAATGGCTCGTAAAATAGTAGAACAGTAATAACAGTTGGCGGCAAACAACAATTGATGTCTAGTAAGTGTAGTTTAACTACATACAAATGCCTATACGCCCACCACATGTGGTCCGTCGCCAGCGCACTGAGGTGAAAGTGGAGCAGCAGTGCGATTTTCGGCGACACCATACGTTAGATTTTGATGGGCGTTTGCATCAAATGTTTGTGACAGCGAAATTTAAAGTGGCACACATACTACAAATATACACATGTATTTACATAGAAATAATAACACAATTTGTTCAGCTCATTGTCGCTCGTAAATCAAGTGTGATGCGTTTATTAAGCTCACAATATTTGTTTTTTTTTTTTGTTTTGTGTTGATCTTCGTTAAATTACCAAATACAATGAAAATATTTTGTTTATTTGTACGTATATGTATGTAAATTATTTATGTAAGTATTTATGTGTGGGTCGGTTTTATTTTTGCATCATTTAAACTTTAAATACTATAAATATGCATTTCATAGCATGCTTTCAGGCGCTTTAGCGTATAACGCCTTGTTCGTTCCATGTGCCGCTTGTATATTCTTAGTTATATATTTATTGTTGTATAGAATACTCATGTTTGCTCGGGGGCTAGTTTTACGTACGTATGTATATTGTTTATGGTTTATGCAATAACAAATATTATTTGCACATTTTTTTTTTTTTTTGCTTTTATGTATGTATACATATAAAAAGTATTATTTATTGTATTTTGTAGCAATTTATTTATATTGTAAAAAATATATTTTTATTTTGTTTACATTTATTTAATTTATTATTTTTATTTGAATATTTTTTCTTTTTTTTTTTTGATTAAAGTAAATAAATATTTTGTAGCTTGCGCTGGTTTAGAATAGGCAGAAATTGCATATTTAGCGTAGTTTATAAAAAATGCTTGTCTTACATTTTAAGCGTTTCAAAATTTTATATAGGCAAAGTAATTGCGTTTATTTTATGTATATAATATTTAAAGATCGTAAAGGAAAAATTTCGTTATGTATGTATATAAGTATATTAGGTTGGCAAAAAAAAGCTTTTTTATAGCATAAATATATTTTTAGTAAAAAAATTACCTTGGCGTAATTTGTTGGTATAAAAAAAAAATTTTTTTAACCATTATTTGTCAAGCAGAAAAGCAGTTTCGTTAGCAAAAAGTTATAAATAAAATACTTTTCAACGCTATAAGTAAACAGTGGTATATGTAATAGTGTGCTTAGTAGTAGTTAGCTAAAATTCAAGAACATTTGAAGCTTATAATATAATTATTCAAATTTAAAAAAAAAAAACAAATACATATGAGCATTGAAAATAAAATTAACTAATTATGAAAACAAATATTTTAGTATATTTGATTAAATTTTAAGTACGAAAAATAATAATCTATCGTAAATAAATATTACAAAGGTACATATATTCGAAATAAATTGTGTATGGTGAGAATAAACTATAATTTCAAAATATCTCATAAATTACAAATCAAAGCATAACGATAGCATAATATAATTTATTAAATAATTTAATCCTTAAAACTGAGTTGGTAAAAATCGGTATAATGCTTTAAAAAATTAACGTTTATTTCAACTCAATTTCAGCTCTCCAGATTTCAATTGTGTATTTTTTAACATTTTATTATGTCAACTCTAATTTAATTTATTATATCAATAAATTTCGTAACTACTTTAAATTTTTACGAAAAGCATAATTTGTGATGAATGTCCATATAAGCATACAATATAAAAAAATAATTAATTAAATGATGGAAATTTAAAAAAAGTTAATCTCAATGAAATGCAATTTGTGCGAAAAATTTATACACAATTTTTTTCTTTTTTTATAAATATACATTTAAAAATGTGATTTTCTCATTTCCAATTGTAATAATACCGAACAATTCTTTTCAATCTCTGCGTATTACGCATTATTTATTTAAACTTCCGATTCGTTTTTGAGCTGCGGCAAATACTGTTGGTTTCTCATACACTAATGAATATTGACAATAACAATTTAAAGAGAAAAAATATATACTTTAGGGAAAAATAATTAGCAAAATATGAATTTTAAAAAGCAATATTAGTTTTATAGTTAAAATTTTCAATTATTGATTATATAATAGAATAACTTTATTGTAGCGTTAAACAACAGCTGCATACGTTTAAAAGTAGTTTTTTTTATGAGCGAAAACTAAGGATATAAGCACATATAAATATACTTAAAATTATAATAAATTCAAGCGATTAAAATTCTTCGATCGTAAGTGAGATTAGCAAATATTTGTATAACTGGAAATAAACATTTTACTATAAATAAATAAATATAATATAATTGCGCTAAGTTTACATAAATTCAGCTTTCGTAAATTGAATATATAAATTATTATTATTATTATTATTATTATTATTATTATTATTATTATTATTATTATTATTATTATTATTATTATTATTATTATTATTATTATTATTATTATTGTTATTATTATTATTATTATTATTATTATTATTATTATTATTATTATTATTATTATTAATTTAATAAATAAATCAACAAAGCAGCGCAACGAAATTCATAAAAAAAAAACTTAAAGCTTTAATAAATTATGAGCTTACACTATCACAAACTGTATTCTAATAAATAATTGCTTTTTCCTTATTGTTTTCTTGCTATTGTTTTTCTCTTCTTGCCTCTTTGTTCGTTTATATTAATATATTTTAAATAATCAATGCATTGGTGTTAAGGACTGCTATAGCAGTGTAAATAATTTTTCTTTTCTTATTTCACATTTCCTTGTATGTGCATATAGAAATGTATAATATTTTTATATATGAATACTCTATTTTAATTATATTGCATAACCTGCACTTAATATTTTTATACGTTTTTATACTGTTTTTATGTGATTTTTTTTAAACTGTCTTAATAATTTATAAAGTATTTGAATGGACTTATTGCAAAAATATTATGAAATTGCTGTTGTATTAATTATTTACTGCTTCTTGATGTATCCGCCGGAATCGCTAGTAGTTCTTTAAGGTTTTGAATACATTGCTTGGAGCCGTCACGCGCCTCACTTGAATACTGATAATGTAAAAAAATTGTTTTATTATAACTCATAAATTGGCAATTTAACAAACTCACCATTGTAAAATTAAGGAAACCATGTGGCAAGCCCTTCAATATCTCTAAGGATACTGGTCGGCCTAGTTTCTTTAGTTTACGCGCAAACATAACGCAATCATCGAGACAAGGATCCATATCGAGTGTCTTAAGGGAAGAAAAAAAATTGATTTTTCATATTAAATTTTTTTTCAATTTAAAATTAATATTACGCACCAATATCTTCGTATTCGGCAACTGCTTTAGCCACTCATCGCTAGCCCAATAGGGCGATAGGAATGGATCTTTTGGCACTTGAAAGGCAAACTCTAAACTAGGGCTACGTGCTATCAATGCGTCCATGTTACGCAAATCCTGTATACGCTCGGATGCCTCCTTCACGCCGCGTATCTCACTGGATTTGGTGTAACGATCAAATGTTGTTGTAAGCGCATTGAAGGCATTGTTGAATCGTCCATGTAACGTTTCGAACGCAATTACTTCTTTGCCCGTATCAATGATTATATTCTCCTCTGATGCTGTACGCGCTATTGTTGATGTAATGCCATTCAAACATGTTGTGCCATTACCTTGCTGCTCTTTAGCCTCTTGTGTATTGGTGTCAATGAGATATTTATCTAGAAAACGATCGATGTATTGCTCTGAATCGGAGTCTTTTTGTAGATCGGCGGTAAGTTGTATGGGATAGTGTACAATTGGTTGGGAATCATCCTCAAAGGAAACGCACAGACTGTTATCTTCTTCGGCGGAGGGTAAATCGGTGCGTTCAACAGTCTGACTGTTTTGATTGGATGCGCTGGCAAATGTATCACTGCTGTCCTCCGTTTTGGCGTCTGCTTCGACAGCATTCACATCCAGAGCTGTGCCGTCTTTTAACTGAAAACGAAAGAAATCTGTAAAAAATGTTTTTTCTACTATTTTTCAAACTTCTTACCATTTGCTCCCACTTGGAGTTCTCCGCCACCGATGAAATCGGACTCTTTGCCGCCGATGTTCGTCCACTAGATGTTGCACTATACTCCTTTTCCATTTGCAGCGTAAAATGACGTTCCTGCGATGGTGTTGCATTACGTATATCAGACATTTCGGCTATATGTTTGGAATTCTCTTCCATCTGCTCACGCCCAGGTGAGGCATAGGCGCGCAAGCAACGCATCATAAAGCCAAAAGGCAACAACGGATCCATGAGGCACAATAGACGCGCAGGACTTGCCACGAAACTGATTAGTGTCGGACAGTAGGCCAAAAACAAACCATCAGGCACACGTACACCCTGCTCAATGCATTTTAAAGCAACGCCAATACAAAGATTGGCACCAGCTGAATCGCCAGCGAGTACAATCCGCTCCGCAGTAGTGCCTAAATGTTCGGCGTTACGCAACATCCAGCAATAAGCGTAGAAAACTTCTTCGAGTGCGCGTGGGAAAGGCGCTTCGGGCGCAAGACTATAATCCACGGATATTATGGGCACATCGAGCGCTGCAGCCCAATCGCGTAGATAGAGCTCATGAGATTTCGATGATTGTGCTACAAAACCACCACCATGGCAATGAAAAAGTACGCTACGACTACGCGCCGGTATGCGGCGCCAACCACGCGTGAATATGCCCTCGCCAATCATGCCTTCGCGACGCGAATAACTTAGCAAACGTACCCTTACAGAGTTGCCAGGTCCAATGTGCGCCGTAGGCAGTGGTATATCGATCAGCTCGGCATTGTCGTTCTGGTTGACATCGGTCGCTGTAGCCGCGCGTAACTTTTGTGTCTTATTAACCCTTAAGAAGCAGACAATATCATTTGAAAGCTGAATCTCAGTTTTATTAACAAATTTTTACTTACCGTGGCAACTGTAACGGCTCAGATGGTATGTCAATCACGCGATTCACCTTCACCGAGCTACCAACAATAGTCGGTATGGTGTGCATCATCTCCGACTCGGCTAGAAACCAGAAAGCTTTGCAAAAATCGATTTTCGCATTCTGCGAAATATTCACAATGCGTCGCGCACATTGCTCCGGATTCAAAAAGTATTTGCTGCCGGTCCACAAGCTACGTGTTGTCTTTGTTATTTTGCCTTCGGTTTGTGCATAAAACACCTCGGAGAAGCTCGCCATGCCAATCGCAATGAAACGTAAAACACCGCGAAGAGAATTGTCATACTGAAACCCAAGACAGCGCCCGTAGAACGCATACTGATTGATTGTATCGCCCATCTCGAAGAGCTCCTCAGCCGAGTGCTGTCCGTTGGCAAAGAGATCACCCGAGTCACACGACCAATCGTGCATTATGAGTAAATAATGCAAGCAACTACATAACGAGGAGAGCAACTGCGAACACGACTCCACCTCCTTCATGTAATGTTTCTTACGAAAGAACATAGCGGCACGCGTTGCATGCAGATTCTTGCATATACTTTTGCCATAAGTAATGCAGGAATTCGTAACAGAAATAAAACTGCGATAACCGTTACCCGGTGTATGCTCATCAAAATCATACTTGTGAGCGAAGGCTTCAATTTGCAACACTAGTTTGTTGGCCAAGCGTATGAAATCCTGCCAAGCAACAAATGCCGCATACAAACGTTGTCCTTTTTCGGAGTGATCCTCTCTGAAGTGCTCCGCATGCTCAGCGCATTGCTCGAGCAGTTCTGCGTAGATAAGTTGCAATGCCGGCTCAGTTTGCTCGGTCTTCTGCTCGTCAGTTGGCGGCTCAGACATTGTTTGATCGCGTCCCGAGACGTCTGCTAGATCAGCAGATGAAGCTGTCGAAGCGGCTGAAGAAGATGCAGGCGTAGGTGTAGGCGGTGGAGTTATAACGGTTTGAAGTGTCTGACCGTTTGACCTTGATTTTAAACTTTCTACTTGCAATTTTTCCCTACCGTTCGGAATACCATTAGTAGTACTTTCTGTGGCCACAGCTTGCGACTCAATGCACTCCATATTCACCTGCCGATTTATCGTTTGCTTCTTGTTGTTGTTTCCTTTTTTTTTGTGTCTTTGTCGCTTACGTTGAGCTAAAATAAAAAGATGTGAATTTAAATGGCTTATTAATGAATATGGAATAATAAATCAGTTCACATACATATTAGCATCCACTTGTTTATGCGAGTAAAAGCGGTTTGCTTTCGAAAAAAGTGGTTAGCGGGTTTTTTGTACATTACAGTTTAATTCGTTGGCATACAAATGAAATAATTCTCGGGTACAAAGCTCAATTTTTTATAATTACTTTTTTATTATGAAAACAATTAAAAAAAAAAAATGTTATACAGTTCATGTTAACATTGAAAAGCTTATTTTAACTAACAGTAAATTAAGAAAAATGTATTTGCCGCAGACACAACTATTTGGACGTAGCGTGCCCTACTGACGGTTAGTGAAAAGGTTTTTTGGTCTCGATAAAAAATTTCTACAAATTTTCAATTTGTTTGCCAGCTTTTAAAAATCCCATATTTCTCCAGAAACTTCATCCAGTTATCTATTTGTCGCTTTAATTTGGGAAATACTGCGCCTAAAGTTATGCTACAAAAACTAAACTTTGCATGTGCGTGATGAAAATTGATAATGGCTTTTAAATAAATACTACAATTAGAACTTTATTTTGAGTCTTATTATAAAAATTTCAGTAAAAAATATTAAACAAAAACCTTTATTGCCGTTCAATGTGAAGTAAGCAAAAAAAAAACATATATCAGCAAATAAATCAGTTCTAGGCTATTACAGAATGGAAACTTATCTTTCATTTTACGCCTGAATATAAAGTAAAGACCACAAAAAATATTAGATTTGTTTAAAAAAAAAAATTTATCAAATGCGGCGTGTGAACAGTGCTACCGTTACCCAGTGATAAAGCAAAAAAAAAAAAGGAAGGTTGATAACAACGTAATAAAAACCAGAAAAATTACCGCACAACAGCTGAAAATATTGATGAGAACAGTATATGTATGTACATATAAACTCAATGACTGTTGCTGCACATGTTTTATAATTTTATATTCAATAAACATCTGCCCAAATAAACCAAATAGAAAATTCCAGTAGCATAATTATTTTGTTGCATAGTGTTCAGAAGGGCATTGTCTTGTGTTACCTGCTTTGCTTTTATTTGTTTCCGTCCTCTATTTGCCCACCGCTTGGTTGTTCACTCACTTTAACTCTTTTTGCCGTTCACTGTTCATAATTTCAACAAACTTGTTTTTTTTTTAGTCTTTTTTTGCAGTTCTTAATTTTCCCTTGGAGCCTCTTCGAAACAACGATATGTTAATCCACCGCTGACTACTTTGAAATAAAAATTATATGTAAATACCAATAACATATGCAAATTCATAAATCAAAAACGCTTGCTTGAAATTTCCAAAAACAGAATTCATTAGAAAAAACAAAAATGACACGCGATCAGCGCATTAAACTTTCACTTTTTTAATTTTTTAAACAAACCATAAAAATCTAATATAGTACATCAAGAAAAAGATATGTAAGTAATTGCATATATGTATGTATGTAAATATATATTTGTAGTTGAAAAACTGGATTACTTTTAAAAACGCCCCGGTTTCAGGACTGCACCGCACACCACCAAGCTTCTTACGATTTAGCCTTAAATAGTCAGTACATTTGTACTCAACATTATGAACAAAAAAAAATGTATGTTTTATACCTGCATTAATTGCTCTACTTTGTGCACTCGCGTACATACATAGTTCCTGCTCACGTCACACTGCCTCGTTTGGCCAAAGTGCGACCAAACAAAAACACTTTTGTCGTCGCAACTTTATATATTTCACTCAAAGATTTTCGCTTCGCCCGTGCAATTTTTAAACGTTCATAAAGTTTTTCACAAAAATTCTTTTCACTTCAAATTTTGTGAATACTTTAAAGAAACGGAGCTACTGCAGAAAAAAAATATTTCCTTCCGCCTAGCAAATTTAACCGATGCACAAAAACCAATTGATGAAACAAAATTATTTGATTTTCGACTGTGTTGTTTTGTTTCTTTTTGTTGTATTATTGAAAATTCGTAGAATAAGGTAATCGCATAAAATGTCAACAAACGAGTTTTGCTGACAGCTGTTCGACTGGATTATTATTTGAATAGGGCTGCCGGATGTAGGAAGTTGTAAAAAGCAGTAAAAGGAAATTAGCTTTATAAATAATAGATTTTTGCTACAATTGCAAACTGACTAACGAGGAACTACAGTAACCAAATAAACGGTTATATGTTTCCGGGACCATATTTAAAAAAAATGTATGTTCTCTTTTAAATTAATAAAACTTTTATTTATTTACAAGATAAAAAAATTGATGATTTATAACTAATTTATTTTTTACTATTTTTCTTTGTAAAACGTGGACCACCAAAGTTCTTTCCTTTGTTGAATTTATTTTTGCCAGCTTTATTTGCTATTTTTACCACACTAGTCTTCTTCTTTTTCGCTATTTGAGTGAGCTTCTTATGCCGATTAGCCTCCGATCTGAAAAATAGCAAAACATAAATGAAATATATAAAACTTTTGTGTATTTCAACATTAGATACCTCAAACGCAATGCACCACTTCGGCTCACATCCGTCAAATCGTTGGTGAAGGCTGACTGACCTGGACGTTTCCTGGGTTTCAGTTTATTGTAGTCACTCACATGTTTTCTTGTCTGTTCGTCTGCCACTGAGCTTAGTTTGCTCGGACGTTTCTTCAATTTAGACATTTTGGCACGCACCAGGGATGCTTTCTCGATTTCTCTTATAACACGCTCTTTCGCCAATTGTTCTGGTGATTTCTTTCTAGGTTCTTCCTTTTTCTTCTTCTTTTTAGCGTTCAACTCTTTTACCGGTGGACCATCCTCGCCTTCACCACCATATTCTGGGCGTTTACGTTTTCCGGCAGCCTTTCCTGCGGGTGCAGTTTTTTTGTCCTCCTCAGCCGGTGTAATAGCTAGACGAGCCTTCTCATCTTCACGTTGCTTACGTGTTTGGAACCAGGCCCGTTGTTCGGACTGTGTACCCTGCAATTTACGCTCAGTTTTTGACAGTTGCTGCTCCATTTTCGCCAACTGTCGTTCAGCTTGCTCTTCGTCTAAAATTTGTTCTGTAAGCATGCAATAAAATAAGTTAGATTATAAGCCTAAGGGTAAATTTATACCTGCACTTACGTATTTCTGGCTCGAGCGCAGTCAGTTTTTTACGGTATTTTTCAATAATCTCTGGTGGTATGATACGGTTCTTTACAGAATTTTCTGCATTCTTAATAATATCCTTAACGATCTTACGTTCCTTTTCACCAGCCAACGACACTGATATACCAGCACGTCCAGCACGCGCCGTACGACCCACTCGATGGATATAGTGTTCGGTTGTAATTGGCATAACAAAGTTGATGACTGTTTTGACACCTACAATATCCAAACCACGCGCTGCCACATCTGTGGCTATGAGCACATCTATTTGTTCTTCCTTAAATTTCTTCAATGATTCCAGACGCTGCTGCTGTGTGAGGTTACCATGTAATTCACCAGCACGTATTCCTAGTAAACCCAATAGGATGTGTAAACGATGTGCCTGCTTCTTCGTTTGAACAAACACCATGCAATGATCATGGAATGTACGACAAATCAAACTGGACAAAATGGGTTCACGGTCTCCTTCTTTATCCTCACGTATACGTATGAATTCTTGGCGCAGATTGAAGGCCACTTGTTGGTTATTATTAACGAATACTTTAACTGGCTTGTTAAGGGATACTGCAGCCAAATCTTTCACCTGTTCACTCATTGTAGCGGAGAACAGCATGGTCTGGCGTGTTTTAGAGCAAGAATTTATAATTTCTTTCATTTGTTCGGCGAAGTATTCATCCAACATACGATCAGCTTCATCCAATATAAGTACCTATAATATAAAAAAAACTTGTAACTACTTTATTGTATAAAATATTTGAAAACAATTTTTTAATTTTTTCAGGTTACACTTCCTACGAAGAATAGCACTAACAAAACTCCACAGAGCTGTCATAGACATTCAGAGCGCAAGGATAATATTCATCATTTGTCATCTTAGGGCGTGGTACAGAAATAAAAACTTACTCACCTCTATGGAATCCAAGCTGAAGCTCGGCGTATTCTTAATATGATCAATAAGTCGACCAGGTGTAGCTATGACAATATCCGGATTTTGTCGCAACACCAATTCCTGCGCTTTTACGTCTAAGCCACCAATAGCTAAACCCACATCGATTGTGGTGAATTGACACAACTGTTTAGTAACTTGGTACACCTGCGCACCCAACTCACGAGTGGGCACTAAAACAAGCACACGTGTAATTGTCTTATTGTTCATAGGTCGATATAACAGACGTTCCAACGTTGGTAACATGTATGCCGCAGTTTTACCGGTACCAGTAGCGGCACAACCACAGATATCGCGACCCAGCAAGGCAATGGGTATTGTTGAGGACTGTATAGGTGTTGGGTAGATATAACCCAAAACTCCAATTGCACGCATAAGCGGACGCGACAAATTCATTTGATAGAAGGATGTTATTGATTCATTACTTTCGATGGCCTCATCGAATTGCATCTTTTCTCCTTCTTCTTCCTCCTCATCCGAGTCAGCACCGGATTTCTTTTTCTTTTTCTTGATCAGTTTTTTCTCACGTAAGCGCAAATTATCGTGTTTCAATTCATCATCAGAGAGGGGAATCTAAAATTAATAAGCTGTGATCAATGGGAAAAAAGAATTTTTTTATATGTAAAATGTACTTCGTCTTCTTCGCCGCTTTCGACTTCATTGGTGGGTTTTCCATCGGCTTCGCGGTTTTTAAGCCGCTCCGCAATTTTGTCATCTGTCTTTGTGCGTGCCTTGCGTTTAACATATTTCATTAGATCATCCCATGTGTCTTGATTATATTCTTTCACAGATGAAACAAATTGAAAACCTTTCTCGAATTCAGCCTCCTTTTTTCGGCGAACTTTGGTGGGTTGATACTGAGAATTTAATTGAGTTCAATTTTTAATATTTAGGCACACCAAAATTTTGAAATCCCTTACCTCCACTTCGGCATCAGAATCTTCAGAGAAATTTTCAACCTCCGCATCATCTTCAATAGTTGTAATCAAATCCAGATTCTTTGTGGCACCCATATCTGCCATCTGTACGAAATTAGCACAAAACTTTTGCAAATTTAAATATTTATTCCGAACTAATTTGCCTCTCAAAACTGCTCAAAAATTTCTGCGCACAGCCAGATCGCACGTGCAAGACAGCTGTTTGTTTTGACACCAAAATATCACTGAACAAACGCCACGTTGTCAACAAATACAAACTGAATATACGCCAACCGCAACATGTGCATTTTCAGATGACAAAATTCGTTCTAACATTTGCCTTCAGCATGCATTTGGTCGGTTCGAAAATAATTTAATAGTTTACTTTCATATTTTTAGCATAAAAGTGAGAATTTACAAAGAAATATACGAGTATACATGTAGAGACAATTTAAAATGACAGAAATAATGCAGAAAACTAAAAACAGCAACACTTTTCGGGCAAGTACTTGTCACATATATGTTACGAACCCCAATGGTAAAACTAAAAATTTGTATATTTAATTATAGTTTAAATCTTTCGCCGATCGTGTAAACGAAATTGATATACGTCGCTTGGCCTTATACCGCATTGGTCATGAAAATGAGGATCTGCCAGAGGAAGAAAACGAGACTCACTTTCATCAAACTCTCAAGAAATGGATAGTACTAAATTTAACCGACGAGTTTGGTCAATTTAGCCGAAAATGTCTGAAGATTGTGACGTTGCCGCAACTAATACATAAAAAGGACTTCGTCGTAGATTTGCTTCTAGAACGGCTAGCCACTGCTACGAATCTATCATTGCAACCGCTGCTGGAATTATTATATGTCTTAGGGCGTGATTTGCGTGAAGATTTCTATCCATACTTTCAGCGTGTGCTCGATAGACTCATTTGTCTACTAAACACTCAAGATGCAGAGCAATTAGAATGGACTCTTGTTTGTTTAGCTTATTTATTTAAAGCACTTAAACCATACTTGAAAAAGAATATTGGTGTTGTGTTTCATGCTATATTGCCACTACTAGACGAACAACGTTATGAGGAGCATGTAACCAATTTTGCCGTGGAGTGTTTCTCCTTTATAGCGCGTGATGTGCGTGACTATCGCAAATTTCTTGACTTCGTACTGGACACAGTGGCGCGTGAACAGGTCGACAGTATCGCTGGTTGCGGACGTTTACTTTTCGAAATTGTACGTGGTGTAAAGGGTCAATTTCACTCCGTAGCAGGTGATTTCTTACAATTCATATTTGAAAGTTTGGTTGATGAACAACGCGCCAAACATATTGATAAGCTACAACTACTATTTGAAATTGTACAACAATCCGTTCGGGAGTTACTCAACTTTCTCCTGCCGCAAAGCATGCCACTGTTTTGGAATAAACTATGCAATGTTACACAAAGCACAATGATAGCTGGTGTGGGCGCCTCTGACCGCTTGATATATATATTACCATTATTTATAATAGCTGCCGAGCATCGTAATGGTCGTCATTTGTGCGAATTAGACATTGTAGTACCGACGATATTGAAAATGTTTGATTATTGTAGGCAGGAATCAACAAAAACAAAAGCAACGGAGGCGCTGCAATTACTTGTCCAGTTGGTTAGCAAAGTATTATTGGCTAATAATGTGAATTTGACACAGTTGGACACTAGTCGCCTAATGAAGAAAGCTTTAAGCGTGCAACAACGCGACATTTATGCGCAATTTGTGTTGCTCATCAATGCGCATGCGCAGTTCGAATTATTGGTGCTACCCTCAGTAGTTGCGAACTTCGAACAAAATTTGGATGAGGCGGCTTTTGAGTTGCTAACGCGTATTCTTCTGAAGAAACGACCGTTAAACGGCAATGCTTTCGCTTTGAAATCGTGGCAACCATATACTCTACATGTAAAACACCAACAAACGCTAGGAAAGTTACAGCAACAATTGAAGGAAATCAACTTGAGTGCCGATAAGTTAAATACCGAATCGAAAGAGTTGCTTAAACAAACTTTGCTGCTAGTATTAGTGCCACATATTGGTGGTATTGAGAAGCAACCACTTGAGGCGCAGCTGAACTCAATAATGACGGAGATTTTAAATAATCTGAATGCAGAAATGAACTTAAAACGTCACCTAACGGCATTTTCACTTCTGCTCGAGACGCATATTCATCTTAAATTCAAATGTTCGCCCGAATTCTTGCAACTTGCCGTCCAAGCTTTGCTACCGCATGCCACAAGCAATCTGCAAGCCTTGGGGGCGCTTGACCAAATACTCACAGCAACTCTGAAATTTTCCAACGGAGACATACAACAAATTTCCGACCTCTTGGTGCCACTACTAAGCTCACATGTGCACGATGTACGTCTGCTTGCCGCACATTCCCTTCAAACGCTCCACCAAGACGTGAAATACGCACATCCTTATAAAATATTCTATGCCGCCGAATGCATTGAACCAAACGTACATAATTATCGTGAACAACTCTTGCAATTACAGCAGCTGGAGACCTCAGGAGAACTCTATCGCGCTATAGACAAGCAGGAGGCTCACCGTGACATCTTCAAACAACACATACTACGCTTCCTACTCGGCATGTTGTATCATAATTTCAAGTTTATTTGGGAGCCGGTACTAAAACTTATAGAATCTTATGCACAGGTGATGAGCGTTGCTGATTTTTGGTGTATTTATGAAGAACAACTGCAACATACCGCCGAGCGCATTAACTACACGATAGCTCCAGCGCACGATTCAACTGCCTCTGTGGAGAATGTGCCTTGTTGGAGCAATGATGTGCTAAATGAGTTACTACCTGCAGTACAGCTGCCGAGACAAACTCAGCAACAGTTGCTGAATTACAGAAATCTATTGTGGATGCGACTGCCACAATTCGGTCAAATGGCTCAGCAGAAAAATCGCGATCTTGTTGGTCTCTTTCTACAATTCGTGGACGAGGAGTATCGTGCGCGCTTGGAAAAACGCGAGTTAACGTGGGATCTCACACAACTGGGTGCTGAGCAGACACAGGAACAATTGGCGGAAGCGGAAGGCGTGGAAAGTGACGCAGAAGGGGACGAAGATGACAAGCCAAATGGTAAGTATAGCTGATAAAATATCTGACATGATATGACCTTTTTTGTTTAAGTAAAATTATTAAAGATACTCTTCATATTCTATTAAAGATCGTCCTCGTAAAATCGCGCGTCGCAACAAAAACCGTAGAGAGCAGCAGGGTTTCATCGCTAAAAGTATACTTCAGACTCTGCATAGTAAACTTGGCGTATTCGCCGCGCAAACCAACCCGCGCTCACTTTACCGCGAACCCGAGCTGTACGCGCTTTACATTGACCTCTTGGCCGGTCCAAATGCGCAGCTACAACGTGCTGCGCTTGACTGTATACTCCGTTATAAGTCGAAATCTTTATTACCCCACAAGGAACACCTATACGCTTTAATCGACGAAGTGAAATTCAAAGAGGAACTTGTCAACTTCAAATTGGATGAAGCTGTGAGCGCCGAACAGAGGCCTGAGCTCATGAAGATACTGTTACGTATACTCTATGGCAAAATGATCACTAAAGGCACACAAAGGGCGCTGAGCGCGCAGGCGCGCAAGTCTTTAATTCTCCGCTTTTTGGGACAGTGTACGACTGAAGAGATCTTGTGGTTTTTAGAGATGGCATTTGGGAAATATGAAAAATATACCGAGTCAACGGCACTACTGGAACATATACCGGCGCTAGTTTTGGAGGATTTCGATATTCACAACGCCTGGTCGCCAAAGAAACTACAAAGCATTGTGAATCTGCTCGAGTTGATACGCAAAGAGTTTGGTGGTTTGATGAAACGCGATTTCCACATTTATATGTTGAAGCTCTTGACGTTTGTGGGTGCTGCCTGCAATGCCGTCTTACAACTGCCAGCCGACAGGCTGGCGCTGATACATCCAAAGATGTGCGTCGTCTACAAGAACGTGCGCAACGCTGCGTTACTGAGTGTGGTTAATTTCTTTGCACACATCGATGAGTTTGAATGGGAGGCGTCGCAGGTGCGCTGCCTAAGCGAAGTCTACGTTTGGCCCACAATTAAAAAGCTACCGCAGGATGCCATACACACGCCGACACCACTACTGCGTCTACTTTTGCAGTGGGGTAAAAAACCGCAGCACTTCAATTTCTTGGCGCAACGACGCGAAGAGACTGCGGATGTGCAGAAGTCACCAATAATCTTTCATTTTGTGGTCACACTACTGTTGAATGAGAAGGCCAAGCCAGCTGTGCGTCGTCCAATTATGGCGCTCGTTGAGCGTCTACTGGCCGTCTCATCGGACGAAAGAGTAATTGAAGACTCTACTGTCTGTAGTGGCCTGACCATTGTAAAGCCTTACATACCGGAGTTGTTGAAGCGCCTACGCATGAACTTCAGCACGCGCGCTGCCAAGCAAGCCATCGACAAACGTGATCTCAATATACTCTCATTGCTGACCGCGCACGTTGAGGATGCGGAAACTTGCGACAGTCTACTACAGTTGCTACTGCCCATACTCATTGCGAAGTCGCAGCGCAATGCCAGCGAAGAGGTCGTCACGCAAGTTATAACAACGCTTTCAAATCTCATCAAGCAACTTGACGCGCCAGAAACATATATACGCAAACTAGCGCCACTCTTCGAACAAACGCAAGAGGTGAACGCGCGAAAATTGCTCTGCCAGCTAGTTACTGATATTGCACGCAAACGCCACAAACAGGCTGCACAGGGCAATGATGAAAACCTCGCTGCGTTGGCAACGCGTTTACAGCGCACAGCGCGTCTCACCGCTATGCTAAACGCCTGGGACAAGCGCTGGGTCGAACAGCCCGACTATGACAAGCGTCTCGATGCACTCAAGGAAATCGCTCAACTTTTGAACATTGAAGAAGACGGCGTTGATATTGACCTCGGCGTGCTCGTCATCTACAACTGCGTTTACTTCATCAAATACGACAAAGACATGGGTCTACGCGACAATGCCAGCGAACATTTGCGTTTACTGCTGCCACGTCTCGCGCTACGCTACACCGTCGCCGATAGTGACAAATCAAATTTGGAGTACTTAGTCGGCGACGTAGCCATAAATTTACTTAGACGCTTGGTTCGCGACAACAACGATAATGTGCGCTACGAGGGCATACGTTTGCTGGGTGAATTGGCACGGCAGGCACCCGCTACGCATGCTGTCTTAAAGGATCTGGCACCCCTTGGTGATCAACAAGATTCAGAGGTCGATTTCTTCGAGAATCTTACACACTTACAGACCCACCGACACGGACGAGCTTTGCTGAAATTCTGCGCGCATGCGCAAACATTAACACAGCGTCCCTGCACGCGCACACTGACGGAGTTCGTATTGCCTCTGGCCACCCGCTATTTGCTGCAGGAGAAACACGCTGGTAAGCATACGCTTATCGATGCCGCTATTGAAACACTTGGTGTTGCCTGTCAACTCTTACCTTGGCAGCAATATCACGCGCTGCTGCGTTACTACCTCACCAAACTGCGTAGCACGCAAGAACATCAGCGACAGTGCGTGCGCATTGTAATGCGCATACTCGATGCGTTTCATTTCGATTTAAGTCAGGCACAAACCGATGCGCAAGCGCTGCAGCAACTACGGAGCAAATTGAGCAGCGAGGAAGCGGAGAAGGAAAATGAAGCCCATGAGAAAGTGGAGACAGTTGCATCAGCGAAGAAGCGAACAACTGAAGAAGATGAATCTGAGGCAGAGGAGGATGAAGACGACGAGGAAGATGAGGACAACGAGCTCGCCGCAGAACTAGCAGTTGCTGACGAAGAGATCAGCTTAACCCACGAAGATCCAGTAACAACAACTGCGACTTCCGTTTGCATACTCAGTGAAGCACTATTACTGCCGCCAGCCGCGGCCAAACGCGTCATGCTTACCATTACCAGCATACTTATCCCAACTCTAAATCGCGCCATAACAGAGCAGAGCTCTTACGATAACAAGCACAAAGTGAACCGCAAACGTTTTAGCGCGGAGCGCGAAGAGGAAGAGATACTGCGCGTGCCGATCGCACTCGCGCTTGTAAAGTTGATGCAAAAGTTGCCCAAAGAGCTGATGGACACTAGTTTGCCCGGCGTTTTCATGAAAGTCTGCACTTTCTTGCGCTCGCAACTCAAGTCTGTGCGCATGCTGACGCGTGACATACTCAAGAAGATAATGCTCGCGCTCGGCGCCAGCTACCTTTCAATGCTTATGGACCACTTACAGTCCCTGCTAACGCGCGGCTTCCAAGTGCATGTGCTTGCCGTCACAGTACACGGCGTGTTGGACGCACTGCGTGAGCAATTGCTGCCCGCCGATATTGAAAATTGTCTGCATAACTTGCTCGAAGTGGCTTTGAATGATATTTTCGGCGACATCACCGCCGAGAAAGAAATCGAAAAGATTGCCGCTCACACGCCTGAAGCCAAGCCGAGCGCGAAGAGTTACTTGGTGCTGCACATCGTCGCGCGTAACATACAAGACACTTGCTTGCTTGATCTACTCATGCCGTTCAAGGAGCATCTCGCGCGCTCGCACTCACGCAAAATCACGTTGAAGATACAGGATTGCTTTGCGAAAATTGTCAGCGGTTTGGTGGAGAACGCGCATATTTCGAGAGAGAGCTTGCTCATCTTTATCTACGGCACTGTTTCCGAGAGCATCACCGATCTGCTGCCGGGCACACAGAAGCGCACGCTTAGCGAGCAGGAGAAGGAGCGTATGCGTCGTGCACGGCCGGACTGCTTCATCATACAACCGGCGCCCCGCACGCGCTCTGGTGCCATTACCAAACGCGTGCAATCAAATGCACAAGCGAATTCGCATATACTCATCGAGTTCGGCTTGGAATTGCTGCAGATCGTATTGAAACGCAAGAAGCTCGTCGATGTGGACTATCAACCATTCTTGAACCCCCTATTGCCGTTGCTCCACGACGCACTCAAGAGTACCCATGTGCGTGTGGTGACATTCGCTTTAAAATGCTTCGCGGCTATCTGGAACGACGCCTATGAGCTGCCAGCGCTGCAGCAGCAGTATCTTAGTGACGTTGTTGAGCGCATGTTTGAGATATTGAAGAACATCTCTACCTTCGGCGCCATCAAGCAGGATGAGAACTTGAAGTTGGTGAAATCCTCCTACAAAGCTATTGTGGCCCTACTGCGTAAATGTACCGACCACGAGCTCACGCCGGAGCAGCTGCAACAACTAGTTTTGTACGTCGAGCAAAATCTGTACGAAGGCGAACATCAGACGCTCTCGTTTTCACTGCTCAAGGCGCTGATAGCCAGACGCGTCGAAGCTGAATCTTTCCACCAAATCATGAAACGCATTGGTGATTTGACAATCGTTTCACAGTCGGACTTTGTACGGGATGAGGCACGCAGCATACTGGTCAGCTACATCATGGAGTACACACTGAAGAAGCGCGTCGATCAGATTGTGAAATTCTTCACGGTGCAGTTGCGTTATTCGCTGCCCTCGGGTCGATTGTCCGTTATACAATTCTTGCATGCGTTGATCAAGAAATTCCCGCTCAAGATACTCTCCAAGCGTGCTGAGTTTCTGTATATCTCCTTGGGACCGCGTTTGGTGAACGATGATGACCCGAGCTGTCGTAAGGCGATCGCTGAATGTATTGAGCTTTTGATTACGCGCTTAGAAAAGGTTGATCGTCAGCGCTTATTCGACATGACCTTGTTGTTCTTCGAACCGGGCAATAAACCATCGGTGGCGGAAATGGCTGCTTCGCTTTGTTCGCGTTTTTTGAACGCTGAGAAGCAATCTTTTGCGCCGCGTCTGAAACTTGTGCTACCGACAATAGTCGCGCGTCTGACAATGAACAATCCGGGCGCGCCTGGCCGCTTTGTGCGCGCACCAACTGCGCTGGGTTTCGATGTAGATGAGGAGAAGTTGAAAAAACGGCGAAAGTATCGAGTAAGGCATCAAAAAGAGAAATTGTAAATTATGTTAACTCCTAATTATTTACAGCAAATTCCCGGTCAAAGCACCAAACACGTTGAGGAGACCATACTCACAGAAGAGGAAGTGGCTAAGGCCGCTGAGGAGCATCAACGAGCCATCGATCACGAAATCATACAGATTCAATATTGTCTTCTCAAAATGCTGGACTACTGCGCTGTGGAGCTGCTCAGCGGTAATAATACCGAGCTCAGTCATGTGATTGACGAACTCGCTTACGAATCGCAAAAGTTGCTGGCGCATGAGCACGCATGGGTGCGTTTCAATGCCGCTCAAATTATTGCGGTTATTTTAAGTAACTATGATTATGCGCGCGTCGGTGTACAGTTAGCCAAGACCCAAGAGGAGTCTGGGCAGATGAGTGAGAATGGAGTGAACCCAAACTTGGCGAAATTCGATTTCATTTATGCCAATCCTGCTTACGATATTAAATCACTGGTTTTGGATTTGTGCGCGCAGGTCGTGCCTGGCGAGACGCAGCAAAATATGATTGACGAAATAGTCAAGATATTCCTCTTCATAGGAAATATGCTCCGCGCTGTACCTTTTAGCATCAAGCAAGAGAAACAAGATGATGAAGATGCTGCTGTGGAGCCAAAGGAAAACGGCGCTACGCAGCATACACAAGAAAATGGCGTGGCTACAAAGATCAATTTGTACTGGTTGGTGCGGAACATACGCTTTCTGATTAACAAGGAGGTCACGAAGGCGCCGCATGCCACCGTAGTGGTAAATAAACAAAAACCAAGGCAAAAATTATAAAAATATTTATTTATTCACATTTCGTAACTTTACAGCGCTCCGCACTCTTCACTTTGATCGAGGGACTCATCACTTTGCTCAGCGTAGAAACGTTGGAGCGGCTTGCTCCAACCCTACTCGGTCCGTTAGTTCGGGAAATGTCAGAGGAGGACCAAAATGTCGACAGTGACTTGCGTCAACAGGCGCTGCGTGTGGGTAGTCGCTTGCGCAAGCGTATTGGTGCTGATTTATATGACAAACTGCGTACGCGCACGCAAACGACGTTGATGCGCAGGCGCGCCGAGCGTAAGAAGTTGCTCGCACAAGAGAAGATTCACGATCCGGAGCGCGCAGCGAAACGTAAAGCTTCAACACAGGAACGCAAAAAATCAGCAAAACGCTTGAAGGCAGATGTGATGCGGGGCAAGGCGGCGGATACGAAACATAAACTGAATAAACGCAAGCGCAAGGCAGAGGAAGATATATTTTAATTTTTTTTTTTAATATTATTTTATGTTAAATGAAATGAGCAGTTGTTTTTAGAATAAGTATAAAGCAAAATTTGTATAAAGCATAATTTGTATAAAAAAATTACAAAGGTCATTAATAGAATGAAAATTTAAAAGAGAAGTGTATTTTAATGATCTCGCTGCACAAATAGTGGGCACTACATGGGACTACAATACCGAACCGAGATTGTTGGGGTAGGCAATCGGGGTTTAAGTTCTTTCGGTTAAGTGAAATATCTGACTTTCTTCGGAACCTTTCTTAGGCTTTCTGCCAAGCAGGGTATTGATAACCTCTATTCAATTCTTAATCCATCGTTGTTGGAACAGACGAAGATTTCGAGTTGGCAAGGAAAACCCGACTTATATTAATACAACTAAGATCTGGTTACTACTCCAGATTCAACTCCTACTTATCCAAACTATACGCCGACCCTCCGAATGTATGTCCTGCATGTCCACCATCGTGAGCTATGATATTATATGAAATTAATTAGCTTATAACTAAATAAACCCAATTTGGCTAAGAGAAACCCGTTCATACATTTTGATTGTTAAATTTGTTGCGGAAACATGTTTTCAAACCACATAAGAGCACTGCTAAATCGACGCTGCTGTTGAAACTGCTTTATCGGCTGAAATTCACAAAACAATCAAATTTGACAGTTTTTCTTTGCTCATTTGTTTATTAAACAAAAAAAGCTCAAATAAACATTACGCGTCTGAGATATACCAATAAGAATAAAAATAAGTACGCCGAGAATTATTATTTAAAAAAGCGCGCAAATTTGCAATCTGCAATGTTGCGTTGCATACGATTTGGTGAGGTGTTGCTGGACGAGACTTTCCGTACGTTTCTAATATGCAATCAGTGTCAGATGGAATTTGTTGAAGTGCCAGAGTTTCGCGTACATTTAGCGACCACCTCTTGCGGTCAAAGACTATTTAAGGATGATGTGATTGGGCTTAAATTTGGAGCCGCACAAGTTACACGCGCAAGCAAAGAAAAAACGGTGAGAGCCGTGAAGTAAACACTATACACTATACATGTATATAAGTATTCATGATTATTGCAAAATTTATTTTCAGTATTTGTTGTATAATCCTGAAGATGTGCAATTAGCTACTGCAGAAACATTGATTGGCAATGAAACAACGACTGATGGTGGTGACGATTCATATTTAGATTTAATAAAAATTGAAGAAGAATTACTTGATCCGCGTTGGTATACCGACATAGCTGCTACACAAACTAATGTAAGCAATGCACAAGCTGCAGCGTCGTGTTCGAGTTCTGGTAACGCGAATAAACCAATGGAATACAAAATGCTCGTCGAAGCAGTAGGACCATATGTACAATTCAAAACAAACGCCGGAAAGAAAAAATCCCATAATATTGTAGTGAAACGTTTTCCGAAAAAAGTAGAAAATTATACTGCAAATGAGCAAAATCCTGAACGTAACCTTAATCCAGCAGTAAAGAGAAAATTAGAACTACCACAAAAGCAGGTGACTTTTAACGAGAATGCGAATGTGAAGTATGTATTAAATGGAAACTTGTGCCCAGATGTTAACAGTGAAAACGATGAAATAATTACGGGTGATCATGGTGCTGTTCTAAAGCGGCGTAAAACTATTAATATACCAACGGATCAAGTCAGTATACAATCAAAATCTGCAGGTCAGACGATAAGACGTAGTTCAGACGTCCCAAAAAGAACAACTGGACAAGTGATAAATGTTGCTGGCACTAAAATGAACACAAAACCAGGTGCTTTGAGTGATGTCACCAAGTTGAAGACTATCCCAGCAACAAAAGTGAGACCCGCAGCTACAGCACCGAAGCCGGAGGTTAAAGCTCATCCAACAAATTTGTTTCCAAATCCTCTGGCCACACAAAAACCAACTGATGGTAATAAGAATAAAGGGACTAACACTAATTTAATGGTGAAAAATCCTGCTACATACGCAAAATTAAATTCAAACGGCAATAAAAGTGAAAAATCGCCAACTAATCGCATACCAGCGATCAATAAAGTCGCGCCGCCACCACCACCACCACCAGAATCAAAACCACAACAACGGAATGTGGCTACAACTGCAATCACGAAAATACAGCCCCAAATTGTTGCACCTGCCAAACAAATTACACCACCAGCGCTAGCGCCACTATCTACCAATAAAATCACTAATCCAGCTGCCATAGTCGCCGCCAAGTTAGGCGCCCAAAATGCAAATCAGCAAACAAATGATATACTGAATAAGCTACAGACACGCGGTCTACAGGTGAAGCGTACGCAACCGCCTTGCGTGGCAACGGCCAATGCGTCGATCACAGCAGGCCAACAGAATAAAACCATGGAACTACTGCAGAAACTTCAATCCAAGGGCATGAAGGTGAAAATACTCAATGGCAAAGAGGCGGCGTGTGCCACCGGTGCCACTGTTACACATCTCAATACCAGTATTAAGTTGCCAGCCATGAGCACCAATGTGGGCAACGTGGCATTGGCCATAGGAAAACAGCAGCAGAATAAGACGATTTTAAATAATAAGCTGATAATTAAGAAAGTTAAGTAGGAAACAGTAGAAGCGATAATATTTTGTAAGATTTTAGTTTTTGTCTAGGACTTTGTAACACTTGATTTGTTTTTAAAGCTGTGTTTTGGTTTTTATACACGCATACACATGTAGGTACACATAAAATTTGGCATGAAAAATCGAAAACACTGCTATATTCTGTAGAAAATATGTACATAAATATAAATATGCGCCTTATTTTAAGGAAACCATTATTTTTTAAATTTTGTTCCAAAGCCATTGTCTCGAATATTTTTCGTAAAATTTGTTTTATGTATTATTGTTTCATTCGAAATTTTTTTTAACAATGTTATGTGTTTCGCTTAATATTTAAGCAATCAAACATGCATACATACATACATACATAGACATACATATTTATACCTACATACTTACTAAATATTCAATATTCTTTTATGTGTAAAATAATAATTTAATTGCGTTTAAGCAGCTCATAGACGAAGCTGTGCAATATTCGATAATAAAAGGTTTTCAAAAAAAATAATGACTTGTACTGTGCTTGTTCTTGTGCGTTCGGAGTTAGCTCGACGAAAGGGTGACAGGTTTTGACAGTTTAAAACTCAGGAACTTGCGACCGTCTACCGTGTCTCACAAGCCGATTTTAATTTATGGTGACCCTTTTTGCAAGCTGTATAAAGGAGTACTAGCGCTTTGTAATCGCTGAGCTCCTCCTCCAATTTGTGGTTTTGCGTCTCGATGTTTTTCCTCCGAACGGCCGATGGTTTTTTTATGAGACGCTTTATTTTATGTCAGAAATACACTCGGAGGGGTTGACATTCCCTGCCGAGGGGCGACCGCAATTAGAAAATTTAGCTTAATTTTTTATTTAAATTATTTTCTATAACTTTTGATTGTTGGTCGCACGGGGATTCGAACCCGAGCCTTCCGAATGGCAGTACGCAATGCTAACCACTCGGCTACCGCGACCGACCGCGTTAAGGTTAGCGAACCGCTACAACAACAACAACCGCGTTAAGGATATGAAAATGCAGGCGGCATCAGTTCTGGTGATACCTGTTTGAATCGGAGGCGGACAAAAGGAGATTAATAATTACGTACTTAAATATTAGATCCTTGTTCCGCTCTTCTCGAACAAAAAATGCTGCAACAAACCTTTGTTGATACCCGCACGTTGCTTTTTTCTTAAATGAAACTATCACATTCAAATATAAACAAAATTTAATGGAAACAATCATGGATGCAAAGAAAGCTTAGAATATGGTCTATCTAAAAGCACCTTACTCAAAGTCGCGGTATTTGCTAAGCTCACAGCATCGCCCACATCCGTGCCAACAGGAGCAGCGCCACCTTCAGGCGTCACAGAGTTACGCACCAACTCGCGCAGGCTTGCCGAAATTTTAGCCGTCTTGGCAATAGCCTCTTGTCGACGCTGGCGCGTTTCAATAAAGCGCTGTGATTGCTCACATTTCAGTTTTATATGCTCCTCCAATTGCTCTAATCGTTGTCGCTCCAATTGCTGTGCCTCGCGCAAATGTTCTTCGTGCACCAACTCTTCCATGTAGTTATCGTAGCGGAGGCGACGAAGATAACTGTCTAGCATGTTGGCACGTATTTGCTCAGCTCGTTCTAAGCGCTCACTTAGCCGCGTACAAATCTCTTGTTTACGCATCTTTTCATCGATTTGTTGCTCCTCCTGTTGCACAGTTACCGCCTCGGCGCGACGCAACTCATCACAGCGACGTTGGCATGCGGCTATACCGCGTTCTACGCGCAGCGCATCCAGTCGCCGCTTGGTGCTACGGTCTTTCTGCTGTAAGGCCTCACGCAAGCGGTGCAGCTCGCTCAAGTCACGCTGTGCTATCTCGTTTAATCGTGCCTTTGTCAAGAGATAATCTTGGAATTGCTTATCACGTATTGCTCGCTTGTACTCCTCCATTTGCGCACACTTGAAGAGTTCGCGTTCGTAACGCTCATTCTCCCAGTACTTACGCGCTAACCATGCGTTCTCCTTGGCAAGTGCACGCTCACTGCGTTTGTGAGCCATGCGATTAAGTATGCGTTGATCATGTGCAGGCACTTGCTGGTAAGCTGCGCGGACGGTAGGCGCCAAGCAAAGGCTGGCCATGGACGAGCAAAGCTTCTGCGAAGATAAAGACGTCATAAAAAGCTCATCCTTTGATTTTTTGCTGCTTTTCGCTTTAGCAGTATAACGCGGTAGTGTATTCGACTGGTGGTCGTCGGTAGTATCCACATTCGCAAGTGTTGGCGAAGATTTTGAGTGTGACGCTTTGGCTTGTTTCAGCGCGCTTACGCCGCTCACATGTAATGAGGCTGCTGTTTCGCTGTCTTCATCGTCATTGAGTACGCTCAGCAACTCTTGAAGAATTTTACAATCACGAGTGTAGTATGCGCCGCGTTTGACGCCAGCACCGATGGTGGACTTTAATAAAGGCGATGGAGTGCGACTACGCAGGCTGCAGACGCTTTTAGAACGTTTTGTCGATGCAGATTTTCTAAGTTTTGGCACTGCGCCGCTGCGGTTGACAGGGCTAGTGTGCCTGGAGTGTGTAGGCGAATTTTTGGCGCTTTTGGATCTAAGGTTTATGGTAGTTGTTGTGGCTTGTATAGTGGAAGGCTTCGTTGTATGACTATTAGACGTAATTATGGTCTTGGCGCCGTTTTTTCTTCTGGTTCCTTTTGTTTTAACACGCTTTTTACAACCACCTATGGAAATGGAACGCGTCCTCTCTACTGCTGATGTATGTTCCGCGGTCGCTGTATCTGATATCCCTTCTGCTGCTGCTGCTGCTGCTGATGTATGTTCCGCGGTCGCTGTATCTGATATCCCTTCTGGATTGCATTTAATTGACGTCTGAGTTTCGTGAGCTTCGTCTGTAACTTCACAATCTGATTTACGCGTATCAACCTTTTCCTGGCAAGGTTCAACGCAGTAGCGTGCTTCAGAATCTAGACTACTGCGATGTGAACTATAGCAATCACAGTGGCAAATATCGCAGCAACTATCACTTAAATTCAACTTATCTAATTCGCAGAGCAAGCGCCAATGCTCCTCTGCCTTCGCGGAACGTGTTGTAGCACGCCCCTGCATTGGTGAGTGGCGCAGTGGCTCATCAATGCTTACTCACTTGGTTTCGACGTTCAAATTGGCACTTTTGGTTTGCACAAAACCCAACTGCTCAACATAACAGCACACCTTCGACGGTTTTCATCAGCTTCTGTGCGCGCTGCCGTTTGGTCTACAAGAATTAGGTCAATAGGACCGACGTTTAAAAAAGTGAAGAGAACCCACCTAAGTATCGATTTCCTTTCGTTGCGCTTTTGTTTTTGGTCCTTCCAATTGGTCCTTATGTTGCGGACTGTGTTCACATACCAAAAACGTCTGCTTTGTTTACTTTCTATCGATTGTGTTCGTCCTTTAGCGTGGTTGCCATGGAGATCTATTTGTGGTTTGGATACTCTTAGTCGTTGTTGCATCGGTATTTGAGCGAAACGGAAAGGGAATACATAACCTTACATAATATTAAGCGTTAAGTAACCGAATGATATTGGATTTGTTCAAAATATTTTTAAAATTTTTTTATTTTTCTAAGGATTATAAATTTATCATTGGAGCGTCTTAGGGAATGCTTCAGCACATACACAATACAATAATTATTTCGGTCAAATTATGGTAAAAAAAACAAACGATTTCGTCAATTTTTCAATATAAAAAAGTAAAAACATTTTCTAAAGAATGAAGTTAGCAACTGCGATAGTTTGGTAATCGGCTTTCATCAGTCCATAGATGAGAAATTTAGGTCAATACATATAGACATAGTATATATTTTCTTATCAATTTACATAAATTCAAAGTTACTATCGTCATAAGGGCGATTCCCTCCCATTGGTACCCCACCGCCCGGGCCCCCACCCATCTGATTTGGTGGTCCACCGCCCATTTGGCCGCCTACCGGGCCGCCTGGGCCACCGCCGCCACCCATTTGCGGTCGAAATTGATTGGTGGGCGCCGATTGTTGTTGTAGTAGCAAACGTAAGCCTGGATTATTGCTCATCATTGGACGCACCATACGCTGCTGTTGTTGTTGCTGCTGTTGCTGTTGCTGCATAGCGGCTGCCGCTGCTGCCGCCGCAGCGACCGCGTGTGGTGAGACCTGCTGCATTTGCGCATTCGGGCCGCCCATCATCGGCATGCGTTGTTGTTGCTGTTGTTGCAATAAATTCATTTGTTGCTGATGCTGCTGCATTGGGCCACCACCGCCGCCACCAACCATTTGATCGGACATTTGCATGCCGATGACACCGGGTGGTGGGCCACCGCCGCCTTGTATGGGGCCACCTGGTCCGCCGCCCGGTCCGCCCATTTGCATATTCATTTGTTGTGCATATTGATTGTAGTTTTGCTGCTGCTGTTGCTGCTGCTGCTGTTGTTGTTGTTGCTGCTGCTCCATTTGATGTTGCACGTCCATCGGTGTGGGCTTCTGTTGCTGTTGCTGTTGCTGCTGTTGTTGTTGCGCCATGACGTTTGGTGGCAAATTGTTTTGCATTTGATCTGAAAAGATGAAGGGATAGGGTCTATTAATATAAGGCTTAGACTTCAATATTTTTCTTAACTTACTCATTGCGTTCTGCATTTGTTGCTGTTGTTGTTGGTGCTGTTGCTGCTGCTGCTGATGTTGTTGCTGTTGCTGTTGTTGCTGTTGCCCATGCCCCATTTGCTTCTGTTGTATAACCTTTCTCAGTCGCTCCACAAACATGGTCTGATTGTTGGGGATGAAGCCGAGAAAGGCGTTTTTCTCGGCAGTATACAACAATATCAAAACCTTGATCTCACACGCCGGTCCTGAAGGGTTTGTAAAGTGTACGCAACCGGCAAAACCTGTGGCCATAACTTTGGAAAGCGTGTCCAGGGCTTCACACGGTGTTGGCTTGAAAACCACCATTTTGGATTCCTTAAGGAATTGTCCACCAATGTTGCCCACAAGGTGTTTCGGCATAAGTTGCATAAGCAGCTTTGGTGGCCAGTTCTCCGCTTTGATTTCGGGTTCACCATCTTTGATGTTGGTAGCCACGCTGCACTGTAGAGTACGCGTAACTTTTTGTTGGTCTGGTTTACTTTTTTCGTTCCACTCGAGTACGCCAGACCAAATCTTATCGCGATCTCGGGGATGCGGTGCGACATCATTGGGCCCCGGTCCGCCGGAAGTCGATGCCTGCTGCATATTGCCCGGTCCCACGCCAGCTGCATTTTGGTTTGGTCCTTGTCCTCCAGCGTTGTTCATGGCCTGCTGTTGTTGTTGCTGTGATTGACTCTGTTGTTGCTGCTGCTGCTGCTGTTGTTGTTGCTGCTGTTGCTGCTGTTGCTGTTGTTGCTGCTGCTGCTGCTGCTGCAATTGTTGTTGATGCATTTGCTGTAACTGCTGTTGTTGTTGCTGATTAATCATTTGTAAACGCATTTGCTGTTGTTGTGCCAATAACGGATTAACCGTTTGGTTTGGCGGTGCACTCAACTGTGAAATGAGTGCAGAGTTTTGATTCTGACCCGGACCGCCGATTGGTCCCTGTTGTGGACCACCCATTGGGCCACCAGCAGCCATTCCTGGCGGCATGCCACCCGCTCCACCCATGAAAGGTGGACGTGGCTGACCGGGTTGTTGTTGCTGATTTGCCTGGAACATCCAACGGTTTTGTGGATTTATATTTACGTTCGGTTGGAAGTTTGGATTCTGATTCGGGTTTTGGTTAACAAATTGTTGTTGCTGTTGTTGTTGTTGTTGCTGCTGCTGCTGTTGTTGTTGCATTAGTTGTTGCGGTGTAAGTACAGTCGGGCCAGCAGGGCCTTGTTGATTCTGTTGTTGCTGTCCTGGATTCATAACACCAACAGCATGCTGTGCCCCTTGCTGTCCCTGGACGGGTCCTTGAGAATTATCAATTTGCATTGGTCCACCCTGCTGCTGCTGCTGTTGTTGTTGCATCTGTGGATTACCACCTGGGCCAACGCCAGGTCCAACCATTTGATTGGCCATAAGACCAGCAACCCCGACGTTGCCAGTATTAGCATTGGGACTGGGTGGACGCTCTTTTAAGTGGTAGCCTTTCAGTAGAACCAAATGTCTTATATTTTTAGCATAATTTTTAGCAGCGACTGGTTGATCACCATCAGCCTTCATGAACAACTTGAAGAGAACGGGCATTTTGCGGGGTGCTATTATGGAAAAATTTATTTTTCGCTCGTGAAATAAACCTGCCAATTGTTCCACAGTTTTGCCCATATGTTTCCAGCATTCCATAACCGGTGTGGAATATGGGGGACTATTACATATCAATATACAATGACGCTGTACATTCAAAGCATCGATCATTAGACGAGTTCGCCGTTCTTTCATATCTTCGAAGCAACAATGTGCCGTAGCCAATCCTTCTGACATGTTTGCACAGGAATCCATGCCGCCACCAACCAAAGGTAAATGCTCAATAGTTTCCAGCACCTGTTTGGGCCACACAAAAGGCCCATATGTGGACACTGCTGGATCAAGCAAATTCGCAGCCGTGCGGTAAATGACTATGCCATATTGAGTTGCATGCCTTTCTGAGATGAGGTATTCTCCATCATCCACTTGCCAACCCTTTGTGAAATGCTCAATTGTTGGAACTATATAATTACTCTTCAGCTCATTCATATAAGCACCATTCACTGCGGTAGCCTCGATAACGAACACTACATCAGCCACCAAATCCAGTTCCATATTCTGCATGATTCTTTTTTTACGGCACTTTACTTTCTTTTCAATATAATTAACTCAATACGTGGAAAATTCTACTATTTTCTGCCCATAGCAACGCAAAAATCAACAATCAAAGCACAGTGTTGGCAGATGTATTAGCTCTGCCAATAACATTTAGCACTTATCTCCTTAGCGTATTTTACACGAACTTTGTTTAAATGTTTTTATTATTAAATAGTAATTTGCGAAATGTTATGAATGAACACCAAAACGGTACTATTTGTAGAATTGCAACAAAATTTCACTTACTCTTCTTCTAACACCTGATGTATTCACAATCAACACAAACAATTTATTCACCGGTCAAATCTGGTTGCCAGACAGTTCAATTATGAGTACTACACAACAGGGCAATCATGACGCTTAAGTTCACTTAAATAATCTAATTTTTTAATAAAACGGAAATTTATTTTCACATAGTGTACTGTTAGCACAAACAGATTTCATTAGAGATTGCCAAATTTGTATGCCTACCGGTCTTAATAAATTAAGGCTGTCGTCATCGAATTACAAACAAACTTCTAAATTACATTAAGAACGATCTATTTTAACGAGTTCTCTCCAGATGAGCTAATTAACTTTCTAACAAAATTAAACATGAAATATTTTTGATTCTTTTTAGGTCATTGCTTTGTTGAATTGTTTTTGGTTTAAAAGCTTTACGGAACTGTCTCAGATCGTATTTTTTTTGTTGAAAATAGTGAAAAAATTACAACAACTGTTTTGGAAGGTAGAAGTTATAGCTGCTATTTCGGAATACACCACGTTTCCTCATCAGATCATTTATTTTTGGAGTAGTGGACCAATTTTTTTCTTCGTTTTTGTTACTCGGTTCATTATGTGGGTTTCTTATGAAACACGCCAATGCATGTACATAATAATCCGTCAACAACACAGAATGCAACCTTGGTCAGAATCATCTGTTTTGACCGAAAGAATCACATTTTAGCCCGCAGAAATTTTCGTTCAATACAACTACTTCGCTCGCACATATACTAAATTATGCTATATTCACAAATTTCGAAAGAGCAACCATCTTCTTTCAAGCAATAATATCAACTTTGCTTTCAAATGGCAAACTAAAAATTACCCTGAAAGCATGTGAGAATGACAAATACGACCCAGTGCCAACAATAATGTAGCGTATACCATTTTCTTTTAGCCAAAGTGTAACCAACAGGCAAAGAATTTGACCGCAACCAGCGACCAGCTGAAGGCAGTCACCAACCTGAGTTGAAATGAAAATTCAGTTTGTTTCCAGTCGTCGTCTTGTCAATATTGAGCTAAGAAAAACTTTAAATTTCGAAGACACGTGTGGTCGAGCGCAAGCGAGTGAGGAAAACTCTTAAAAAGTCAACAACTCGTCACTGGTGAATGCAATCGTTTATTGCAATCAGCTTGACATTTCGCATTACACAAACAATGATATGTCATTGGTGTTTTCTTTGTGCGTAGAAAATCGATTTAATTTGTGAAAACTTGTAGCGAAACAGCAAGAAATTTTTTTTTCTGAATAATTAGTGCAATTGTGTATGAATTCGACTTCGAGTGCCGTGTATGCTTACAGATTACATTTTGGGCGAAAATTTCCTTTTATTACATTGTAGCGAGTGAGATAAACACTATTTGTGGATTATACGCGGTACATTTGGATATATTTACGCACCGTTCGCACATCGATTTGTGGCGCCCAAAACGTTATGAAGCGCGCCCGACGAATAATGTGGTAGAAAGAAACGGTCAGTGACAAATGAAAAGGTAAGTTTATAGTGTTGTCCTGTGCTTGCCAAGTGTGCGAGTGAATTCGTTGAGTGCTGTTTAAAATTGAAAATTTCTTTTGTTTTCACACTTCATCGCCCTTGCACTCTCGGAAATTTATAATCACTTTTGTTTTTGTTGTGTTCTTCAATATCAATCTTTGTTTTTGTTTTGCTTGCAATGTTACGGCAATTGGCACATGAAATGTGTATGATTGAAAACGTATGAAAAGAATACGAAGGAGAAAAAGAAAGAGAGAAAGTTGAGTAGTTTTTGAAAGAGAGCGCTCTTTACTCAAATATTAATTTCCGTGTTTTTTTATTTTATTTTGAATGAAGTGCGCTCTTGCGAACAAAAGCGAGAGTGAAATGAGCTTTTTTTTGTGTAGAATTTCCCCACCTCTGAAGGTTACGTATTTAGCGCATTGATGGGAAGTTTGAAATTTTACAGTTGTTTGTTGTTGTTTCGTGAAAAGGGTTAACTATGCGCATATGTGTGATAGCACAGCTTTTTGGTTCCATTGGGGGGTGGGGGAGATTTGTGAAGGAAGAGAACAATTTTTGGCGTGCATTACATATGTATGTATGTACATATGTTATGATCGGAATAGCGGCAGCGATAAGAGGCAGAGCAAATAATTTTGAGGCTGCAAACATAGGAATATTCAAAGAATTGTCACATTTCGAAATACAGAAGACAGAATAAAATAACAAAGTGTTTTAAGACTATTTAAAAAAATGTCTTCCAATGCATCAGGGCATGATGGTTTACCAATTAAATTTATTAAAATTATGCTACCTTGCATTCTTGGCACACTTACGCATCCTATTAATCATTGTATTACCAATAGAAAATAGTCACGGTACTACCTAGGAACTATCTTTGTAGTCCGTCCGATATTTGAGCCATAAGCATCCCCTGTACTGTCTGCTTTGATTACTTGACTTTTCCAAAGCGTTTGACATGGTCAAACATTAGTTGATATGCTATCAGTTGAAAGCGAACTATGGATTTAGTTTTAGTGTTTAAAGGTTTGTGAAAAGCTATCTTGGACACGTCACATTGCAACTCAAATCGGTTACTTCAGGGTTGCCTCAAGACTTCATCCTTGGTCCATTGTTATTCAGCATGTTTGTTTATGACATTGATACTCAATCTTCAAGTTATCTTTATTCCAAGTTATCGATCGTAATATTGGGTTTTCCAATAAGAGGTGTTATTATGAATAGCTTGATATTCCGGTAGATGTTATTTTGAAGGTGTAACCAGTTGCACTTTCCACCTCAATGACTACGTCAATGAGCAAAACTGCTGTTGTTGTAACCGCCAAATAGGAATGTTGCTAGAGTACAGTACTTGGCCGTATAAAAATCCGGGTAGTTCCGGTATAAACACCCAACTGTCGCGGGAACTATTGGATTTTAGCCGCCTCTTAAGACAGACATGCCTTACCGCGGGTAAATTTTTGAACCCCTAACCCGCAGGGAGGGTGAGCATAACTGTCATATCTGTTGGATTGGAAAACCTAAGGTCTATTGTGTATCCTCAACTTTTAACTGTTTAGTGCCGTTCATGGTCCGGCGGAGTCTTTAAAACCGTGATTTTCCGAAAATGAATGGATTTCGCTGATTAATAATTTTTGATGATTTTACTAAGGATCTCAACAAATTCCAACGTTTCTACTTGCTCAGATGAAATCCTGATCCTGATCTCAAATCAAAATAAATTATGACAATTGTGAATGAAAGAAGTCGGTCAACAGTTTTCTTTTCCACTTCTATCCGCAAAGAGAAAATTGTTTTTGCTAATTGCCTTAAGAACCCACCTAACAACGTTTTCGCCATAAATCATTCACACACATGCCATAAATTTTGGTTAGCAATATTTCGAAAATACCTACATACATATGTACATACGAACAGCCACTAAAAGCAATTGAGTGCCTACCGCAATATCTCTAAAGCCAATAAACAATCAAGAAAAGGCGCATACATACATACGTACATAGTTATTAGTAAATATATTCTGCAACAGACCCTGCAACTACTTCACCAACTTCACATATTACTTCAATAACCACGTTTCTAGACCTTTGCTCGGTTGTGCAACTCCATTTTCGCCAATAACATTTCTATGAGCTGCCATTCAAAACTTTTGATATATTACACAGTCAGCAGCCAGCAGCCAGCAGCCGACAGCCGGCGGTACACAGGAAGGCAGAAGAAAGTGTGAACGTTCCTTTGGTTATTACAATGACCGTAAAGTCACAGCCACCAAGTACGAGTACTTACAAGTATTTGTACAAGTACAACGGAACAAAAGCATATGCCCGCGAGCGAAAAGTCAATTTCAAATGCAATAAAATGTTCAGGCGAACCAAGCAGATAGGCATGGTGAAGGCTAGAAGAGGTTTTAAAAAAAGACTATATATATACATATATTTTTAGCCGAACAATCCTATGCGAAAAAGTGCCAACTCAGCCAAATAATCGTTGAATAGTAAAAAAAAAAAAAAAATTAAAAAAAAACAATAAATTTTGCAAGTGACAGCCACTCGCAGCGTGGGGCGGGCAGACGAGATAATGGCAGTACACATTACTACATAGAGTTGTTTTTTTCCTTCCTTCATTTTGCCGGCAGCATAATTGTAGTTGCTTTTGATGCGATTTGTGGCAGCAATAAGCAAGCAACAGTTTTTACTGCAACGCTTCTAGTGAAAAGTTTCGTAAATTTGCAGCTCTATGAGATTTCGAGTGAAAGTATTGCGTGTGCGATAGAAAAGTTTCTTTTAAGCTACTGTTTATTTCTACTACACATTTATAGTATATATCATACATACATATTATATGTATGTACATCTAATGGTTCTGCTTGCTTGCTACTCCCATCTTATGTATGGAGGCCATGACGTGCAAATGGTGAGGGTGGAAAAATGAAATTGCAAAGTTTTATTTGACGCAAATTCTTGCACTAAACTTGAGCTGAATGATAGATGGCGTAACGAGAATTCAATTGTGAAGAATTTGACGTTATCTGTTGTGGCTTTATCTTCGTTGGAAATTGATAGTATGGAAAAAAGCACAAATTTCTTTAACTCCCTTTGCGATTGAAGTAGCAGTAGGAAAATTATTGTACTTTGTTTCCGTTTTAATCAGTTTCTTTTATCGGTTGTGAGAAGCTCTCATGCAACTTAGCGTTTGAAAGTGGAATATACTTACGAATGACAAGTTAAATTTGAAGCCAAATCGATTAAATGAACTCAGCTGTTAGCTCACAGGTGTGAAGTTTACCCACTTTCGAGGGCGTACATTGTAATCGAAGTTTTCAGATTTGTTGTATGGCAACAGTATTGGTAGCGTACATACTCGTATGAAGCTGTAGAACCAAGCGACTATTCGTCGCCTTATCTATTGAGTATTAATAAACAAGAGATTTGAATGAATGCCAAGCGAAATTTCCAGCATTTTATATCTAAATTTTTAGTTAATTTTATTATTATTTTATTAATTTCTTATACGTTTTCCGGTAGCAATATAGAATTTCACCTTTCTATTAAATAAATATTAATTTTTAAATAGCATCAGATATTTTAATAAATTACTGTCTATTGTGAATGTAACTTTTGATATGAAGAAGCACCTATTACATTGTAGTGGATTAAAATTTGACAGCTCTTCCGTTGTGGATTTGAGTTGTCGTCAACTGCTTTTTATACATACAAATATTTTTTTCGCAAATATTCAGCAGCAATGCTGAAAACTTAAGGACGCTCGAGAACCAGGCGGGAGGTGCTTCAACTTACAATCTAAAGAAAAAACCAAATGCGTACAACTAAAATACAATTTACATAAACTATTTGACGAACATGTATTTACATACATACATATGTACATATATACACTTACATGATCAGACACGCTGAAAAAATATTTTCCTCAATGTGCGTTTAGCATATAAAAAAGCGATAAATTTCAATTAAATGAATTGCGCTATGAAATCACAGCAACAAAATTTATAAAATATATACATGTATGTATGTGTATATATAATACAACAACTATAACAAATACTATGCAAAGCGCCATAACAATCTACATTTAACATGATATTGGTGTTAATAATGACAGCAATCATTAAAATAAAAGTTTTACAGTGCATGCAAATGAATATCGGACGAATGAAAATTGTATGTGCAAAGTGCGACAGTGTGCGGTGAACTCCATATTTGCGCATACGTTTAAATGTTTCCACAATATTCATGCATGCGATTGGCGTTTATTTGCATATATTTTTTTCCGTACATTTTTTTTTGCTTTGCCTTTGCTCTTGTTTGTTATCTATGTAGCTGGTTTTTATCCTCTTTTTTTTTTGTGCCTTTGCCCCACACTAATTTTCGAAAATGCGTTGCAAAACCAACATCGCACTGATACTGGCATGCGCCGCCGCCACAAAAGCAAATGCGGTGGAGGGCACAGACACATGAACACGCACACATGCATACAAATGCACATACATACATATGTATGTATATGTAAATATAAAATGTAAGGTAAACCATGTTTTTGTCCTGAGTTGTGAACCCCTGCTGAGTCTGCGGGCGCATAATATGTAAATCGTTCACGCTAACTGCGGTGTGGACGACGATGATGATGATGCTGCTGCTGTTGCTGCTGCTGAGCCAGCCAAACAGTCAAGCCAGTCAGCCAGTCAACTCGACAGGCAGTTAGTCAGCCTAGTTTAGTTGACGTCCACAAGCTCACAAGCTTGCAAACATGAGTTTTGTATGCTTTGGGTTTTTAAACTCCAAAAAAAAAAAATGTAAATAGATACATACATATATACATATACGTATGCATATGTATAAACAAATGTAAATGTATGGTAATATGTACTTTGTACTCACATCTATTAGATTTTTCCATCTGTTTTGTTCTTGTTAATCTTTCTCTGTTCATCTGTATCAATGCTGTTTCGTTGCTAGCATTGTATGTTTGTCTGCT